AGCCCTGGGGGGGAGGGCGGCGAGCCCCGGCTGGGGCTCGGCTCTCCCCACCCCGGCGGCCAGAGCACCGCGCCGCCGCCCCCCTCCAGGTGCCGACCCAAGCACCAGCTTGGGTGCTTGGTGCCTGGAGCCGGCCCTGTCCACATGCAAGCCAGCCTATTAACGTATGTAACGATAACACGACAGCTTTGGCTGGAGGCCGACAGTGCTGATGGACGCCCAAGGCTGTGGAATTTGAGCAGTTGCCTTCGGACTATTTCTGAATGTTAGAAACATAAAGAGCTGAAATTTCAAGCGGAAACCCCCACAGGTTGCCATAGGACTTCTGGTTCTATGGGCTAGAGACAGAACCTGCTCGAGCATTTGTTTTATTCAGTAGTAGTGCAACGACCCTACAGGCCTGTCCCCTGTAAGACACGGGCTTCAGCAGTTAGCATGAGGCTTGCAGCCTATGAACTTTGGCACAGATAAATGGCCCAACAGCCCCCCCTGAGTTTTGGAGAACTGGGAATCATAGAATCTCAGGGTTGGAAGGGACCTCAGGAGGTATCTAGTCCAACCCCCTACTCAAAGCAGGACCAATCCCGCACTAAATAGAATGTGTAAGGGAGGAATTTGTCCATAATGCCACCAGCCAACCACAGGAACATGAGCTAACACCGGCTTTTGGATAGATACCAGCAGATGTCTGACCACACGCATGCCAGAGCAACAAATTGACGAAAAGGTGAGCTCGTTAATATACTAATCTATAGGAGAAGGACACCCCAACATTAGTAGGGTGAGGAAATACAAACATGTGTGCTGATTGGGCTGCAAGCAGCCATGGGCCACAGGTTGAGAACCACTGCTCTAGTGAATCTGTCCACTTAATAGGACTGACTGGAAAACGAGAATTCTGCTTTGCAAAAAGCAGGTTACAGCATAGCCCAGTGGTGAAGGCCCTGACCTGCTCAGTAGAAGATGAAGGATCAAGGCCCTGCTCTGCTTTGATTTGCAGTGGGGACTTCAACCTGGGTTTTCCACATCCCTGGTGAGTGCCCTCCCCTGCCCCCAGCCTATTGACTGACCTGGGGTCTTGCTGTCTCTCCTTTTGACCAGAAATCCCACCCTGCACCTGCAAAGCCTTCCCATGAAAACCAAGACATTTCCACAAAAGGTTTGATGTCAATGAATCAGCATTTTCCATCCAAAACACTTCCCAACCAGCTTTACTGTTTAGCTCTGTTGGGTGGGCTGTCAGTACAAAGGGTCATCTTCCCCTCTCCCCCAATGAAATTAACAGGGGCTTTCCCATTAACGCCAATGGACGTAAGATCAAACCCTCTGCAGAATTTCTGGTGATGTCAATGGCAGGTGTGTCTAAAGATTGAAATTCACCCCCATGCCAAGGGCCAGGACAAAGTCTGCCCAATATTTACATCCCACTTAAACCTCATGAACCATTTAAAGTCAGGAAAAAAAGGTACATTTGTCAGGTGCTTTAAGATCTGATGAAAAATGCTGTACAAAAGCTAAGTATTCGTACTCAATAGAAATTTACAGAGAAAAATGTGACCACATCTACTCGTCAGAAAGTAGTATTTATTTTTCCTGGGCATTTGGCCTCATCTACAATATAATACAAGAGATATTCCTCCCACGGCTACATCTCTTTACATACATTATACCAGCTAAAGATCTGGCCTAAATCAGCATAACTCCATTAACTTCAGTAGAGCTGTGCCAGGTTATACCAATTGAGGATCTGGGCTGGAAATCCTATACATACACAAATTCTGCAGAGCACCAGGACATTACAATTCCCCAGCCCCCTAGACACCTCCCTGAAGAGTAGGAGCTGGATCTCTTCTCACTTACCCTGGTTTTACACAGCTGTAACTTGGAGCTCTGTTGACTTACACCAACAGAGTATTTGGCCCAGTTGACTTCAGTGGAGTTACTCCTGATTTACACTAGCATTAGGGTGAGTTACACCTACAGCTGTCCTGCTTAGCAATATTTTAAAGCTGAGAATAAGCTATTAGACTAATTAGCCCACAATACCTGTTGCTTATATAGTTAAATCTATACACATTCCTGTGTGCAAACTGCAAAGGAGTGTTGAACCAGTTGAAATTAACAAAAAAATACCCCCAAACCAACCATCTTTCCACATCAAACCTTCTCAAACAACCTTTCCCAATGAAAGACAAGTTCAGTTATCTGTTCTCTGCTCCCATTGTGTATTTGTTTTCAATGGGCTTTCACGGTTTGGCCTGGGACTGCACGATATGAATGAAGATGCTGTTATTGTGATATTTCTGCTCTGAGCGCAAGGAGGAAAAACCCAAGTCTTGTACATCTAAGCAGCTCAAATCAAAGCTGTGCTTAGCTGCACAGGTGGAGATCTGTCCATCAGCAAAGAGCTCGCTCCACGGGGAAAAGGCCTTTAAAGAAAGGAAGGTGGTATCCTGCAGCGAGGGGCTGCGGAAGCTAGGAATACAGATGCCCAGGATTAGGTGAGGATGAGCGCTGCTTTTGAGGATGCCTGGGTCTGGAAGGGGCTTCTTGAACCTACAAGGAAACCAACCACCTTGAATGTGCTTCAATAACAGGAAATCACATTAAACACAAAAACCCCAAAGACACCAAATCTACTGATTTTACAATCCTTGGGAGAGTGGGGGGGAGAAGGGAGAGAAGACAGGTCCATGAGGCTAGATAAGAATTTTTGTAAGGAAATTAGCCACGTCAAAAATCAAGCACTGATGGGGAGTGACAAGGAGAGTGTTTGGATGGGAGATGAGCCCAGCATGTCCGTGAAAAGGAAACTGGAGCTGATGTACAGCAGGTGGGGACCCTGGCCCCAAATTTTAACAAAGATGTTAATTGGTATCAGTGGGTGATGCAAGACTGACGATTCTGTTCTTGCATCATTCACTTTATAATTAGCAGGCTGTTCAGCAATGCTTTCGAAGCCAAAGCCAGACCGCTTGCTGCAGGCATTAGCTGGCTTGCCTGGCAGAAGGGACAGAGCCCTGGAGAACAGGCTGCAGGGAATAGCAGCTACTGAGGTTCCTTCGACAGAACAGGGTCAGACTGCGCCAGCGCTGGCTCTGAGCGAGCAGTACCTCCTCACCCTGCTTTGAAGTGGAGCTGCAGCCGGAGAGGAGTTGCTGTCAGCAGAGCAAGTGGAAGTTGCTCATGCCCAGCAGTGGAAGAATCAGGCTCCAAGCAGGAAAAACAAACATGTGGGACCAGATCTTCAGCTGGCATAAGTCAGCCTGGACTGCATCTACTTACACCAGGTGAGAATCTATCCCTGCCCTAGACTCCAGGGGAGGGGTGGCTCATTTTACCCCAGCTCGGGATCTGTGCCCATTGAAACCAGGGTGACAGCAGAGGTAATGGAATTACAGCTGGTTTACACCAGCAGGGAATTTGTCCCACAACTATGTGGAATTTTCCTCTTTCCTTCCCTTAGAAGAGCTGGAGGAGGGGTAAATGCTCCCTCCCTCTCCCCACCGCGGGGAGTGGGGTCACAGGGACGAATCCAGCATTTTACCCTGAGGTTAGTGGGCACTCTTAGCTCTGGTGGGGTGTGGGGGAGGGGACATTCAGCTGCCAGTAGGGCTCATTGTGGCAGGATCAGAGCAGCACACCCGTTACCTCTGTGTAGATGGTCGAGATGAAGGACGGGTTGATTTTCTTCCTCTTGACAGAAGGAGGCTGTGAAGCAGAGTGAGATGGTTGGTTATAACTAGGGTGACCAGATGTCCCGATTTTATAGGAACCGTCCCAATTTTTGGGTCTCTTATATAGCTCCTATTACTCCCCACCCCCGTCCTGATTTTTCACATTTGCTGTCCGGTCACCCTAGTTATAGCATCCATAAGCCAGGCAATAAACCCCAGCTTCCCTGCCATGCTCTAGCAAGAACACATGTTAACATTGCCGAGTAACCAATCAATCTGCCAACAAAGCAAGCCATCAGGGAACGAGGGCTGCAAAGGGCTCTTATTCCATCAGGAAGGGTAATGCTCCAAAGGGACAGGAACCTAAATAGCACAGTTCATGCCCCTGTTGGATGGGGCTGCAGGGCCCAGGATGGTAAAGCAAAGCCAGGCATGCAAAGGGCCAGATCCTGCCAAGTGCTGAGTGCTTCCCCTGTGACCCCTTCAAGGCTGGTGGAGATGTGTGCCAAGCCCAACAGACATCTGCATGCTCACCTCAGTCCCAACTCTTGTTCTGCCTCCTCCACACACGGGACTGGCTAAGGGGCCGTGTTATCAATAGTTATGTAGCTGCTGGTGTGGGGCCATCTGGGGATTGCATGTGGGCAAAACGATCCCTCCACCATTGATAATGTCTAACACACGGGTGGACCCTGGGCTGGGCTCTGGGATTTTCAAAAGCACCTACGCGACGTAGGAGCAGGACTCCATCGACTGGCAGTGGGACTTAGCCGAGCCTTCAGGGTTAGAGGATGGGATGAAATCCTGGCTCCATTGACTTCAGCAGGGTTAATGTCAGCAGCACAAGTCCCAGTGGGGACCATCTAAGTCATTAGGTGCCTTTGGATGGGAAATCCTGCCAAGCCCATTGAAAGTTTACCCTTCACATACTAGTGGGCCCAGCTACGTAGGATGAAACCTTTGCAGAACCCAATACGGCCATTCGCTGTGGCTTGCCCAGATACTGCTACCACCACAGCAAGACAGACTCACCCTCTGGACAGCAGCGTACACCGTGAAGTCTCCTACCTGGGGAAAGTCAAGACAATCAACATCAGTGAAGAGCAAATGATGGACAAAGGGGCCCACCTCCCGTAGGTCAGCATACTTCTATTGACTTCAGCGGAGCTATGCAAAGTGCACACCTGCTGAGGACCTGACCCAAGATCCTTGTACTAACAACAACAACATAGTGCTTCTGGTTGTTAGCTCTCAGAACACTCCACTCACCCAGTGAGTTGGCTGGAGAGCTGGGATTCAAGACTAGGTATCCCAAGGACTAGCACAAACCACTAGAACACAGCCCTTTATCAGGAGCGGTTCAAGGAAAGAATTACAGTTAGATTAGAACTTGAACAGATCAAAAACATTATGGATTGAAGGTAATCAATGGGAGGTTGTGGAATCCCCGTCACTGGAGGTTTTTCAGAACAGGTTGGATGTTACTTGGTCCTGCCTCAGTTCAGGGGGCTGGACTTGACCTCTCAAGGGCCCTTCCAGCCCAGCATTGCTGCAATTCTTCAAGAACCACTGGCCAGATCTTCAACTGGCATAAATTGTTATAACTCCATCAAAACACACACAAAATCAGAGCAATATCAATTTAGACCAATAGAGGATCTGGTCCCACAGGCCTGAGAGGTGACTCCTTTCATCCATACACCTGCCCATGGAGTAGCTTGATGTAAAACAAAGCCTACGGTTTGAAGGCTGGGTTGGGAGGACCACTGGGCACTTACTTGTGGGTTGCAGTTGATCTCAGCGTAGATGGTGTTTCCTACAATTCTGCTCTGTGCATTTCCATTCTGTACAGGGGAAAAAACAACCGGGTTGGTTTAAATATTTTAGTCATGGGGGGGGGGGAGAAGAGGGATTTAATTTTCTTGTCTCTTCAATCAGGACCACTGGCTCAACTGCTGAGAGAATAGTATCAGAGGGGTAGCTGTGTTAGTCTGAATCTGTAAAAAGCAGAGGGTCCTGTGGCACCTTTAAGACTAACTTCTGTTTAAGACAAAAGTTAGTCTTAAAGGTGCCACAGGACCCTCTGTTGCTTTTTGCTGAGAGAATAAAATTCAACCACCCTTTGGGGCCAGATCCAAGGTGCAATGAAATCCCCATTAGCCAATAGCAGTACAGGGCCTATGACACACAGATGAGTTCCGATTCCAGTCAGTAGAGGACAGTGGTGCATATACACATTCACCAACAGTGTTACCTCTGATTTTTATGCTGCTTTTATACATTAAATATATGTACTTTCATTATGAAAAACCCATTGCACATCTGACATTAGCTCCACTTACCCAAGAAATACACAGAAACGTAACAAAACAAGAAAGACGAGACGAATACGGGGAAAGTATTTTAAGACTGCGGCAGCTCCAAAAGAGTGAGATGAAATGAGTTCCAGGGGGCAGCAGAGGATCAGAAATCCGAAAGGGAGCTGCTATGCTCTAAACTGGCCAGAAGGTGGCAGCAGGTGGTTATCAATGAATCCTGCGTGTTGATAGGTCAATGGAATGTCTAGCTGGAAAATACATTTCTTATTTCAGATCTTACAACAAGCGTATTTCTATAGCACTTCTATTCTGCAGGACTGCAAAGCAATGTACACACTATACACAGGGTTTACTTTCCCCCACCCAGGGCCAGTGCAAGAATATTTTGCGCCCTAGGCGAAACTTCCACCTTGCACCCACGCGCGCTCCACCCCCCCCCCCCCCCCCACACACACACACACACTGGTTCATTGAGGGTCAAATCCCAACGAGCCCAGGAGCCGCAGAACCCGAGCGCGGTGAGGGGTAAGCCGGGGGGTGCGCCTGCCCGGGCTGCAACCCACCTGACGCCCCCCCGGGGGGTCCTGCAGTGGATGCATGCAGGCAGCAGCCCCCGTGCGTCTCCCGGCTCCCCCATGCCACGCTCGAGCTCTGCGGCTCCCGGGAGCGTGAGCCGCCGCTGCCCCTCCCGGAGCAGGCTCAGGGCCCTGCGCCCCAGTAGCTCACATGCCTGGGAGCCGCAGAGCCCGAGCACGGCGAGGGGAGAGCCGGGGGCGCACGGGGGCCGCTGACCACATGCAACTGCTGCAGCCTGCAGGAGCCCCCGGGGAGGAGTGACGCGCCAGGCCGCAGCCTGGGCAGGAGGGGCAGGGGGCCCGGCTGCTGCCCTTCTGTGCCGCGCCGGCTCCTCCATGGCTGGGGCTCGCCTCCCCCACAAGCCGACGCTCTGGCTCTCCGGTGCCTCCTGAAGGCAGCTCCTCCCTGCCGAGCCAGGGCACCGCTTTTTTAGGGTTACCATATTTCAACAATTTAAAAAAAAAAAAAAAAAAAAAAAAAAAAGGACGGGGGAGAGCCCCACCCACATCCACTCCCTCCCACCTCCCTCAGAACGCCTAACCCCCCTGGTTCCTTGTCCCCTGGCTGCCCCCTCCTGGGACCCCTGCCCCTACCTGCCCCCCAGGACCCTACCCCCTACCTGTCCCCTGGTTGCCCCAACGCTTATCCACACCCCCACCCCCAGACCGACCCCAGGACTCCCACGCCCCATCCAACCACTCCCTGCCCCCTAACAGACCCCCCCTGAACTGCCAACCCATCCAACCCTGCTCCCTGTCCCCCGACTGCCCCCCGGGACTCCCCTTACCACCATGCTGCTCCAGCCGCTGGCTCCACGTGGAGCCAAAACAAACAGGCTGTGGAGCCCACAGCCCCACCCCCGCAGCATGCTGGCGACGGGACACTGAGGCAAGGGGAGGGGGAGGGACTCTACCTGCTGGAGGCCAATGGGAGCGGCTAAATCAGGCCAGGCGCCCAATCAGCCACGCCGCACTCTGCGTGAGGGGAAGGGAGGAAAAATCTCGGACGCCCCCAACCACTTGGCACCCTAGGCGACCGTCTAGTTCACCTAGTGGTTGCACCGGCCCTGCCCCCACCCCTGCAAGGCAGCCCCCTCTGGGATAGAGCATGGCAGCTGCTTAACAGCTACACAGCAACACAACACAAATGTTTAGATGGGAAGTAAAGAATGCCAGTGGCATTCCAAACTTCAGGGGGAATTTAGGCAGGTAAATTATAGTCACCCCAACTGCATTCACAGCCCAGGGGAAATGGCACTGGAGTGGGAATCAGGAGACCTAAGTGTCACTCCCAGCTTTGACCCTGAGCAAGTCACTTCCCCCACTCTGTGTCTCAGAAAATGGGGGTAATGATCTTGACCAGACTTCATAAAGCATGTTGTGAGTGATCCACAGCTAAACAACAGCAACAGAAGTGCTAAGTTACATCTTATTACGTGGGGTTTTCTAGGGTGTTAGCGCAGAAGTCTCTGTTCTCCCCTTGTGCTTGTGTTGAGACAGGGACGTTCAATGACAGTGAAAGGTGACAAATTCAAAGCCAATAAAAGGAACTAGTTTTTCCAATTAATGCATAATTAGACTGTGGAACTCACTCCCACAGGATGTCATTGAGGCCAAGATGTGAATAAGAGTCGAAGAGGGATGGGAGACATTTATATGGAGAACAAGGATATTCAGAGTTATAACAATTAATGCAAACAGACTTTTGGAAGGGATAAAAACCTCATTCTTCAGGGCTTAAACCAATCTCGGACTATTAGGGGTGAAAATGGTAGCTGGTTATCCCACACCTGCCTAGAGAAGGGTTCTTCCTCCTTCCAGAGGCATCTGGTGCTGGCCACTATCGCAGATGTGATACTGGACCAGAGAGGCCTTGGTCTGATCCAGTCTGGCAATCCCCATGTTCCTAGGGACGGTTTTCTATCTGATCTGGGTGGGAAGGCTGTCAGTGAGAGCGTTCTTTATGGAAAACCAGGGCAGCGCTCCACAAGACTCACTCTCTACTATAGACAGGGCCGGCTCCAGGCACCAGCTTAACAAGCAGGTGCTTGGGGCGGCCAAGGGAGAGGGGCGACACCTGCGGCAATTCGGGGGCGGCAGGTCCCTCACTCCCTCTAGGAGCGAAGGACCTGCCGCTGAACTGCCGTCCCCGATCGCGTTTTGTTTTTTTTTTTCCTTCCCCAATTGCCCCCAATTGCTTGGGGCGGCAGAAATGCTGGAGCCGGCCATGACTATAGATTTCAGCCTTTGCCAGCATTAAGCCGGGAGAGCTGTAACAATACTGCTCTGGCCTTGCCTACAAAGGGGGAAAACAAAGGGATTCCCTCGGGACTCACAGCGTTTCTTCTGGGGCGGGCGTCCTCCACTTCCTCATAGATGGTGAGGGGCGGGTCACCGTCTTTGGAGGAGCCTTTGAAGAGACAGAACAAAGTGACTTGTGTAAGAGACCCCATCACATCCCAGTCTCACAGGGTGAAAGTTACCCCAGGCAAAGCCCTCTGCTCAGGGTTGCACAGGGTGTGGGCAGCTTGCCACTAACATATCACCCTCAGCCCTGATGTTTCCCAGAGCCACCCACCCTGGTCCCAGTGATCTTAGCATTTCCTCGAAGACTCTTCGCCTCCTACAGTAAATCAGGACAAGCATTTAAAAATCTATAGACACAAGGCAGTTTCAGGGGGTTACTATGGATTTACAGGGGCAATTTCTCATGTCTGATTCATAGATTTTCCATTTAGATGGAGTCAGAGGACCAGTGTGACTATCTAGCCTGACCTCCGCTGTAACACAGGTGTCAGCAGGGAGGACTGACAGTGCATAGACAGCTCTCCACCATCCGTATGTGGCTCTCATCTTAGTCACTTTCATGACCTGAAGGGGACGTTCCTCTACTGGATGAGCTTCCTTTTAACCACTTACGTTGCTTCTTCCGATGCTTGCAGAGGAAGATAAGGGTGAGCGCCGTGAGCAGAAGCAGCAGCCCCAGCCCTGCAGCAACAATTGCCCAGAGTGGGACTTTCTGAAAAAAGTCTGGAAGAGAGAAAGGTGAAAAGCCAAGCTCTCGTTACACTGCAGAATGCCAGAGCCTTTCCTGACCCTTATTCTGCACCCTACTTTATAGCATGTTTATGATGGGTTAGTTAATGGGCAGTAGATGCTTTGGTAAATTATAGATCAATTGTTATAAAGCTCAGACTGCTGAGAAATATTCCCAACCACGGGTATTCAATTAAATCGTGAGTTTGGATTACAAAATCCATGTTGTGTTTTTTTCCCTTTTATTTGCCCTCTGGTTTCCAGTCCTCTAGAGTTAACTTGGTCATATTTTCAGGTTTGTCTCCCAAACCCATTGATGGCTAGAAACTTTCATTTAAAAAAAAAAAAAAAAAAGTAAGCTGAGAGTCTCACCTCATTGCCTGACTCCAGGAGTTGGGGCTGTAATGAAAATGCTTACGGTTGTAAGACTTGCAACAAAATCATACAAGCTTGCAACACTAGCCTATGGCACGTAACCATCTGTAATAGCATTCTACAGATGTGCTCATACACATACTACTCAGATCCTTAGCATGCTACTGGCCAAGTGCAGCAGTAAGGCTGTCCAAGCTAATCACCGGGACCCAATTCAGAGACTTTTAGCAAAAAATAAAACAAACAAACACCAAAATTTTTAAATACAAATAAAAAAACCAACAAAATTGACTTTTTGACATCAGTCTGTTTACTCACCCAAAATACTCCCTACAATGTCTTACACAGGCCAGGTTCCTCTAGGTAAGGTAACATTTCCTCATCAGCTCTACAACTCTCACTCTTTTGCTTAGCAGGAGTCAGGAGTTTTATAAAGGGTTTTCCTACCCAGAGTCCATTGCAGAGAAAGGAAGTCCCTCCCCTGTTTCTCTGAATGATTGCCAGTTTGGCTGGCCAATCAGTTCTTTTTCCCTCACTTCTAGTTCTATAGGAACATCACCCACTACAATACTTATGACTAGAGTGGGTCACAAGTGTTTCATTGAAAAGGCATTTTTTGGAAAAACAAAAACAAAAACAAAAAACAAAAAAAACCACCATAGATTTCAGTGAAATTTTGTTATCAAAAGGCTTCATTTTTCCTCTGATGTCAAAACATGCCATTTTCAGAATGAAATGTTTTGCTTTTCATTCGGAAACAAATTTCTGCTATTTTTAATTTTTTTTTAAGTTGAAAAGGTCAAATAGGAGCACAATGTTCTCATTGGATTGAAATGAAATATTTTGATGGACCTAAAATGCAACCTTTTTAATTTTAATTTCATTTGGGAGGAAAATTTCAATTTTGTTTTGTTTTATTCCACTGGGGCTTTGTAGGTGCTACCACAGTCATAACTATAGCAAAGAGACACTTCCTGAAGAGTTTATAATCAAGAGGAATAACAGCAGCTCTGTTTCCTTGAACAGCACCACTGGTTTTCCTGAGGTCTCCCATCCTCCTACTGAACCAGCTCAACCCTCCTTAGCAGGAACTAGGAGCACTGACATCTGAAATTGCAGCTATATCCCTGCCTAGCCTTTTACTGGGATGAGCTATTTGAATCCTAGAATCCCAGAAATGGGCTGGAAGGGACCTCCAGAGATCATAAAGTCCAGCCCCCTGCGCTGAGGCAGGACCAAATAAACCCAGACCAGCCCTGACAGGGTTTTGTCCAGCCTGTTCTTAAAAACCTCCAGTGATGGGGATTTCACAACCTCCCTGGAAGCCTGTTCCAGAGCTTAACTACTCTTAGAGCTAGAAAGTTTCTCCTAATATCTAACCTAAACCTCCCTTGCTGCGGATTAAGCCCATTGCTTCTTGTGCTACCTTCAGTGGACATGGAGAACAATTGATCACAGTCCTCTTTATAACAGCTCTACACATATTTAAAGACTGCTGTCAGGTCCCCCCCATCTTTTCTCAAGACTAAACGAGCCCAGTGTTATTTAATCTTTCCTCACAGGTCAGGTTTTTTTAATTTTGTTGCTCTCCTCTGAACTCTCTGCAGTTTGTCCCCATCTTTCTTAAAATGTGGCTTCCAGACCTGGACACAGGACTCCAGCTGAGGCCACCAGTGATCAGAAGAGTGGGACAATTACCTCTCATGTCTTACATATGATGCTCCTGTTAATATACTCCAGAATGATATTAGCCCTTTTGATAACTGCATCACATTGTTGACTCATATTCAATTTGTGATCCACTGTAACCCCCAGACCTTTTCAGCAGTACTACTCCCTAGCCATTGGTTTTACTTGCAAACATGTGTAGACCATGTGTCCCCTGCACTGGGAACAGAAGGTAGTGTGAGGTTTGTGGTGGTTCTTAAATCCCACAGGAGGAACTTCCATGGTCTTGGACCAGCCCCAAAAACCTGTTGCCTTCACAGACGAGCTTTACCCTGTTCTAAACTGTTTTGCTCACAGGGCCCTCCGTGCTGGGGTTTGGGAGCTGGATTTACACAGGTTCCTTTGAAAATCCCAATCCTGGCTAAAGGGCTGGACAAAAATTTTCCTTCACATGTGTTTTGACTGAAAATTGCTTTTTTTGGGTAAATACAATATTTTCATGAAGAGCATCTGCTTTCGGTGGAAATTTTTGAGTTTTGTGGGGGAAAAAACCCCAAAATAAAAAAATATGGGCTTTGGCCAAAAATGTTTGGGTTTTGGTTTATCGATGGAAAGTCTAAATGTTGTGTGGAAAATTTAGATTGAAATAATGTTGTTGTTATTTTGTGGAAATGTTCTCCATGTTCAGGGAGGAGGGAGAAATGTTTCTCAGAGAGCTCTACCTATCCCACAATCCCTACCTCACTTCCAAGCTGCCTCTGCCCCGTGTGACGGTGGGCAAGTCACATCACTGCTCTGTGCCTCAGTTTCCCATTTGTCAGATGAGGGTGATGATACTGCCCTCTTTTGTGAAGTGCTTGGAGATTTCCAGCTGAAACATGCTATATAAGAGCTATTAGTCAAAGAGAGCAAGATCCGCACTAGTGGAAACACACCAGTAACACTGAAACCTATGCGACTAGCCACCAGAGCTCTGGCTGCTCCCAGACCCAGAGCCCCATGCATTTCAAATGCTAAGATGCAGAAGACAATAAATCCTCACATTTCTTCTGCTGAGGAATATTTACCTGTGGCTGGGGAGTCGCACAATGATTTGATATCTAAAGTGTCTGTGTCCCAGCTGGCTCGGTTACTAGCGTTACATCGGTAGAAGATGTCACTGCTGTCTGCATTAATCACTACGTGCAGTAGGGATTGATTCCCAGGGAGCTGATGGTCCCTGTCAGACGGGATCCAGGATGTGCCTCGGGACCATCTGTAGGTGACTCTGTCAGTGCCGGGCACCGAGCAGGACAGGGTAACATTGCACTGGCCGAGCTCCTGGTGGGCAGAGAGCACCGTGAGGTTTCGCTGCCGGACTCGCTCTGAAAGGAGAGACCCTGGTGAGAGATGCTGAGGAAGGCGGCTGCCGTCAGTGACACACACTAGGGAAAAACGTGATCTTTGCTACTCACCAAACACAGAGACACGGAACTTTGTGATGTTGACACGTCCTCCTCCAATGTCAATTTGCAAAGTATAGAGGCCACTGTCTGACTTCTTAACTGGATCAATCTGCAGTGAGAGATTCTCAGGGTGGAAAGTGACTCTGTTGATAAAATGTGGGGATGACCCAAGGTCAGGGGGTTCCCCTTTATTAAATGTTACAATCCGATACGTCTGTGCTGAGTCTAGTGTAACCTCCCAGGTCATTTCTGCCCAAGGCTCTGGTAATTTCACTGGCTGTAACTGGACAGATTCCCCTGCAATTGCAGCCACTTCCATTTCTTTGCAACCTGGGGGTTCAAAAGTACAAAGAACAGGTGAGTGAAGGGTTAACTGGGTCCCGCGTCTGTCAGGGAAACGTGGGATAAAACAGGATCATTTTCTGGCCTGCCTTAGGTGGGTAGAATTTAGTGCTGATGAAAGGTGCTGGACTGATCAGCCTGGAGTCCTCTGTTAAACCACAGAGCGGCTGCACCCCAGGCTGTGTGCATCAGCACTGACCTGCACCGGGGCGGGGTCAGCCCCCATGGCCAGTTCGATCCTTGCTCCATCCCACTTTTCACTGTCCTGGGCAAAGGGGCTTCCACCTCGTCCCTGGGGAGGCTGATCCTCAGCCCCACCCATTCCACTGTCTCATGCTTCTTGGAGCGGTGGAATGGGCTTGTGGCTAAGGCACTGAGCCAGGCCTGGGGACACCTGGGTTCAGTGTTGCCAGCTCTGCCACAGATTCCAGGGGTGACCGTGGGCAAGTCATTTCACCTATCTGTGCTTCAGTTTCCCTCCTAAACGTGGGGCTACTCTTTCCTTCCAATCTCTGTCTTGTCTCTTTAAAGTGTAAGGTCTCTGGGGCAGGGACTGCGTACCTTCAGCATCCCATATGTTGATAACCCCTGGCTCTTATCAGTACATCTCAACGTGCTTTCCAAAGGAGGTCAATTTCATTAGCCCCATTTTACAGCTTGGGAAACTGAGACACAGAGAAGGGAAGTGGCTTGCCCAAGCTCACTCAGCAGGAGAGCTAGGAACAAGCACTCAGCTCTGCTGAATACCATCCCAGTGCTCTAACCACTCAGCCACACATGATGGCTCCCAGGTACTACCAGAGTATCATCACTGATACTCCTGGCTAGATGTTCAGTCTCCCTGGCTCATCCGGGCCCCAGATTCTTTCTTCAGTCTGTCAGCAAGGTTGGGAAATGAGCTTTCATTCATTAGTATTTACATGACAGTGCCAAGTGGGATGGTCTTACGGACTGTACCTTGGACCCATTTCCCCAGAAGCTGCACGGAGCCCCACGCTCTCTTTTCACACCAGCCCCGGAGCAGCCCCTGGGCGCTAACAGCTCCTGCAAAGCGTCAAGCTAAAAAGCTCTTGAAAAATAGCCCCCAAGAGCGTGAGCATTTTCTGCTCATCTGCCTTTTCCTGTGTGTGGTTAAGTAGGTGCCATTGTCTCCGAGCCAGCAGCACAGATAAGCTGCTCTGGGGACCCTCAGAGGAGGGACAGGCGTGTGCAAATAGCACTAACAGCTTCCCTCTTTCCCATCACAGCTGTTGGGGGGCGGGGGGAGACACAGAGGAAGCCGCTGGGGTGAGCAGGATTGCTGGGACCGGAGCTTCCACACTCAATCAGATCATTGGTCCATCTAGCCCAGCCTCCCACTTCCAGCAGCACCCACCAAGGTGCAGGGCAGAAGCTGTTGTGCTGGTACGAGGGCAGCGCTGCTGTTACAGACGCTTTCCTCCCACACCCACTCCCCGGGGCGCAGGCAGCCACAGCAGGACACAGAGGGCCTGAGTCTCATTCACACCAAGGCCCCTTTACGCAGCCTGAGAGCATAAATAAGATCTTCAGGGCTCAGTCCTCAGTTGTGCTCAGTTGCTATTTGGCTCAGCTTTGGGGCAGGTGGGTACATGGGACCTTTCCACTCTGCTTATCTTGGGCATCTGATAGACTGGAATGGTCCCTGGTGTAACTTAGATCAGCTTCACGGCTGCTCTAACTTACCCTGTGCCACCAAGCATCTGTCGGAGCTTTGCGGGCTCTGCCTCACCCTCTCCTGAACCTGGCATGCCCCCTCCCCGGTCCTCCCTGACACACTGCCTACACTGGCTTTACCCATCCAAGACTTCCCCTGAAACAGGGAGAACCCTCAGCTGCCCGTTTCCAGCAGCCTCGTGGTGGCTCAGTCACGTAGAGGCCTGAGCCTCTCGGTGAAACTGACTCCCGGACAGCAGCCTAGCACGGGGCCTACGCGGAAGTGAGGTCTCACTTCAGCCCACAGGACCCAGAGCTGGCCACTGTACAGTGAATCACACACTTAGCCACTGCATCGCTGGGCTTAGAATAACACTGTGCTCTGTGCTAACACCTTTGTGCATCTTCCGCTCAGTAGACAGGCTGAGCTGCATTTAACTCACAGGTCAGCCTCTCCCCGAGACGCATTCTCCAAAGCAGAGCGGAGTCCGTGTTAGCTTTACACTAGGGTTGCCATTGGGGTTGGAGGTATTCCTGGGGTTGGACATTTTTCTGAAGGTTTCCCCACATGACAATCTTTAATTAAAGATTAATCTTGAATTCCTGGAGGCTCCAGGACAATCCTATTGGCAGCCCTAGTTAACACACACACCCTGCCCTCTCTTCCCCACACACTTTTACATAAATAGCCACCAGGACAAGGTTGAATTACATGAGAACAATCAAAAGCAAGAAGCTAGAATAAGTATTGTCCCATGCTCAGTATGACACCAAAACTTAGGTTTACTCTTTAAGAAACTGAATATTGTAATAAATAAGAACCCGTTTTTCGTAGAGGGCTTTTCATCCATTGATCATCATTATCCTCATTTTACAGGGTTGGGAAACTGAGGCACGGTGCAGGGAAGTGACTGACACTATGCATCGTTGTGGAGCTGGGAACAGAACCTGGAAGGGGGAGGGGGGGCAGATCCCCAGCTGCTGTCAATCAGAAAACACATCTCCATTGCAGGCAATGGAGCTATGTCAGTTTACACCAGATGAAGATCTGCTCTCGCTCACTCCCACTCCAGAGTGTGCTATCCATGGATAGCACACAGCTATGGGCCTGATTCTCATTTACCCTAAGGCCCCTTTACACCCCTCTGCCAGCGTAAAGCAGCCTTAAAGTGGGAGCATCTGTAATTTACATCTACTTACAGCCCCTTTAACACGGCCAGCGTGATATAAAGGGATCTTCGTGAAAATGAAACTCGGGCCCGAAATGTTTAGCGCTTTTAACCTCTCCTGACAAATGAGCTTTTCTGGCCCCTGGATAATTTGTGCTGCTTGTCCACGAATTCCCTTCAGTTTGTAAACTCTCCTGTACTGAATTATCCAACACTGAACCGAGAAACACACAATCACCAATCTGTTCCATGACCTGATACTTCTGCATATGCTTCCCCAAAGCACATCAGCTTGCCCCTTGCTGCGCCTATCTCTTTCACAGCTCATGCCCAGGCCCCTAGGCCTCCCTGAATGCTGACAAATGCATAGCAGGAAACTCGCCTGGCTCACCTGTGTGTTAGTGTTATTACCATCGATAGCAGAGTCATAAAAATGTGTCCAGGCTTTATGGAATGCTTGTAGGATGCTGCATGTTTTAATCCTACTTAGAATATCTGTCTCCCATGCCAGAAGGTGATGTTCTAATGTTTGCTCTGTAACTAAAAACATTTGCTGAGACTGTAGATCCCCCCAGTCAGGGGAGAAGCCATATTAAGTGTGAAATGCTAGTTTACCACAAGCAGGGTTCTCTCCTCCCCACCACCACAAGGTGTACAGACACCAGACAAACCGCTGTGGATAGAAGCCTTTGTTGATTTTGCTTCCCCCACACCTCTGAAGAGGGGACATGTGCAAGCCCACGTCCCGTCACAGTTTGAATGTGGGGGGAAGGGAGTACAAATGCCTGTTTAGGAGAAATTGGTCTCTTTATGCTGTCTGGAGTCTGAGGGGCAAAGATTCCTAAACATAAGTGAGAGATCCGCCAAGCTGCTTGGCTTGGATTAGCCCTAAAGGACGTACAAGCTTGCTTATTACAGACGCTTCTATTACCTTTTGTGTATGTTCACCTGCTTTAACCTTGTCAATAACGCTCATTTCTTTTTCCTAGTTAGCAAACCTTTAGTTAGGTTGTTATAGGATTGGTTACAAGAGTTGTCTTTGGGTTAAGATACCAGTGCAACTGACCTAGGGTAAAAACAACGGCACCTTAGAGACTAACAAATTTATTTGGGAATAAGCTTTGGAGGGCTAAAACCTACTTATCAGCTGCATGGAGTGAAAAATACAGAAAGCAGTATAAATATTACAGCACATGAAAAGATGGGAGTTGCCTTACCGAATGGGGGATTAGTGCTAACGAGGCTAATTCAATTAAGGTGGAAGTGGCCTATTCTCAACAGCTGACAAGAAGGGGTGAATATCAAAGGAGGAAAATTACTTTTGTAGTGCTAGTCACCCCTTCTTGTCAACTGTTGAGAATAGGCCACTTCCACCTTAATTGAATTAGCCTCGTTAGCACTGATCCCCCATTCGGTAAGGCAACTCCCATCTGCTTTGGGGTGGCAAAAGTGGTAGAGCCGGCCCTGTATATATCTCCTTACTATATGTTCCATTCTATGCATCCGATGAAGTGGGCTGTAGCCCACGAAAGCTTATGCTCGAATAAATTTGTTAGTCTCTAAGGTGCCACAAGTACTCCTGTTCTTTTTGCGGATACAGACTAACACAGCTGCTACTCTAAAACCGATATCCACTGGATCCCCTTGGTCCACATTCTTGTTGACCCCCTCAAAGAATTCTAGTAGATTGGTGAGGCATGATTTCCCTTTAAAACCATGTTGATTCTTCCTCAACAAATTATGTTCATTTATATGTCTGACAATATTGTTCTTTATTATAGTTTCAACCAGTTTGCCCGGTACTGAAGTCAGGCTTACAGGCCTGTAATTGCCGGGATCACCTCTGGAGCCCTTTTTAAAAATTGGCATCACATTAGCTATCCTCCAGTCATCTGGTACAGAAGCTGATTTAAATGATAGGTTACAGACTACAGTTAGTAGTTCTGCAATTTCACATTTGAGTTCCTTCAGAACTTCTGGGTGAATACCATCAGGTCCTGTATCAGAGGGGTAGCCGTGTTAGTCTGTATCCACAACGAGGAGTCCGATGGCACCTTAAAGACTAACAGATTTATTTGGGCATAAGCTTTCATGAGTAAAAAACCACTTCTGAAAAAAGTAAGACTTTTACCCACGAAAGCTTATGCCC